TGTGCCATTTTCCCACAGTTTACTACAGCGGCTTCCCCAAAATTTCCCCAAAATGGGTCAAATTTTGCCCAAAATTGTGAGCTCGCGAAGCGACGCTGAAGTGACCTTGAGAGTGAACAACCACTAATTAGGACTAAATAAGGGTTATAAAACAATCAGAATAGTTAAAAATTAGATTTAGGGTTTTCATCACGAACTGACATCAGCTATAATTCCAAAATTCTATTAACCCAAAGGTATGGTTGAATTCCGCGCCCAAATTCGTGACTTTTTACCTTATATCTGATTGGTTCGTCCATAAATTATAGTCTCGCCGGCACATATACATACACGAGAATGAAGAGGTAACAGTGAGAAATCTGTCTTTTCAGATGATACTTTTTTGCCTTTGAATTCAACTTGTATTTTCGCTATCATTTTGCGTAATGGAGGCATCGTTAAGCATCAAGTGAGACAACACTGAACAAAACAACGAACATACGTGCAGTTAACAGTTGGAAATTGCGCCGAGCGGCTGATCGATTCCCTATTGAATATATTTGATAGGGATTTGAGATATAGGCAATTATATATAGGCCCCCGTGACCCAGTCACCTTTCCGAAAAATTGCTATTACATTTATTGTTTGCTCTAAATTGTTCTTCATTTTTGTTTTAATCTTTCAATGTTCCATACTGCGATCCTATATTGCTGGATTCAGATTCTTTGTTAATTAACTACTTCTTGATTATTCCGTTACTAATACAAGACTTATATTCCGTCTTATTGTGTGAATACCTGGCTGTAGATATTACTCTATTTGTTATTGGGTTGGGTATGATCTTGTTCCAAGCTATGTGTAAACAAGCTTTTAGAGGAAACCTTGAACTGATAACTTTTAAGCTCATTCTTACTTAACTTACCGGTGGAGATTTCTTCTTAATTTCCGGAAGTTTTATTGGGCATGACCTTGATTATGAAAAGATAATGTTTCCTTGTTAACTCCAAAATGATTGAAATACTCTGGAACGTCCCAAAGGGTGAAAAAATGAGAACACTTCGGAGGCCTAGATACAAATAGTATGGAGAGCTCCTTAAGATACAAAATTTCTGTTAGTGAAACAAATGGGCCACTGAATGACTATTAGCGTACTGAGCACTATTGTTCATTCTCTAAAATGTCAATCACCGGGGTAAGTGATCTATGTCGACTGCTGGGGACTTACTTCAGTTAGACGGGAGTGACTTTACTTTCCAAATTACACCTAAGTCAAGCATCTCACTCAATATCCAATTAACTTTTTGTTGCATGGGGGTTCTAATGCTACTTTGATGATTGTATTAGCACAAACAGCGTTATCGCGAAAATATATTATTAAAATTATGTACAATAAAACAGAGCTCTACCGCTACCACATGCACCTGTTCATGACGTTCAACCGATTAGTTAGCGTTGTTCGTCCTTGTCCTTGATGGGAAATTATGAACTGTCTGACATTCAGCAGTATGAATTTCGAATGATTTGGTTAGCAGTCGATGCCTTTGCCATAGCTCAGCGATAAGTACTTAGCTCAGTTACAACACAAATCCTTGAGTCAAAACTTAGAAGTTAGGCTCAAAACATAGCAAATTGGACTATTAGTAAGTCATTTCTCTAGGAATAGTCCATTCATTGAATTAGCTGCCGATTGAGACGGTTCGACCAATCCCCTAAAAGCTCTTAAAGAGAAGACTCGATGCAGCGCTTCTGGCCCAATTTACAAACTCAGCGATCAAATCTCTCTAATTATTTCGTTGAATTTTGTTGCTCATGTAGAACATGTCTTTTCTAGATTAACATTGCTGTTTCTCTGAATATCTCTGGAGTTATTAGTTCGACTATGACCATCAAGATGGCTTGTTTGTTCCGTTCTTCAAGTATTATTGAATCACACGTAGAATATCTTTTTCTCAAATGTACAATTTGACGCGTGAATCTAGGAGCGTCGCAAAGTTTTCCTTACGGGTTATAATGCCTTGAACGTATTCGAAGTGTATCTAGTTTCAAGTGAATTTTAGTAGCATCGGTTCATAACTGAACAGTTATTGACGTCCAACATACGGTAAATGAATATGTTACACTAACCTTTGAGCACTTGAAGAAGATTAGAAACGGTAAACTCAGTGACATTTAATTAAGACAAGATTACTAGAACATGGAGATGTGGCCACTATATGTAAGCTTTCGGTCTTGATTTGTTAAATTTGTTTTTTCATTAATTTCATATAAATCTAGATAACTATTCACTCCATGCTTACATTACCTTACAGCCTATTTTTCTTCAAACTGATTAGTCACTATGTTTGCTGTTGGTAAAAATTTTAGAATCTTATTTCTGTGCAGCACTTGAATGCTATGAATGGTTGTTAATGTGTTATAATGGCTAATTGTAACTATAACTAATACGTTATTGATATCGATTAAGCCAGTAAGCTGAGTGAGAATACTAATCCATATTGAAATAAAATGATTCACGTGAGCATTAATCAAAGAAATAATAAGGCGATGTATCAACACAGAAAAAAATCCATAAAGTAATGGTGAATATATTAGAATTAGCAACTGGCTGCGTTCCCTCAGTTCGTCTTATAAATAATAAATTGAGATCTAGGTTGGTGCTAGTCTACATATCCCCGCCAGTAGAATAATGTACGTAGTCCAATATTGTAGGCTTGCCATGATGTGATTATCTAACCTACATGACCTTACGTTTGAGCCACGCTAATTTGTGACGAGTCACTGAACAAATTAGCGTGGCTCAAACGTAAGGTCATGTAGGTTAGATAATCACATCATGGCAAGCCTACAATATTGGACTACGTACATTATTCTACTGGCGGGGATATGTAGACTAGCACCAACCTAGATCTCAATTTATTATTTATAAGACGAACTGAGGGAACGCAGCCAGTTGCTAATTCTAATATATTCACCATTACTTTATGGATTTTTTTCTGTGTTGATACATCGCCTTATTATTTCTTTGATTAATGCTCACGTGAATCATTTTATTTCAATATGGATTAGTATTCTCACTCAGCTTACTGGCTTAATCGATATCAATAACGTATTAGTTATAGTTACAATTAGCCATTATAACACATTAACAACCATTCATAGCATTCAAGTGCTGCACAGAAATAAGATTCTAAAATTTTTACCAACAGCAAACATAGTGACTAATCAGTTTGAAGAAAAATAGGCTGTAAGGTAATGTAAGCATGGAGTGAATAGTTATCTAGATTTATATGAAATTAATGAAAAAACAAATTTAACAAATCAAGACCGAAAGCTTACATATAGTGGCCACATCTCCATGTTCTAGTAATCTTGTCTTAATTAAATGTCACTGAGTTTACCGTTTCTAATCTTCTTCAAGTGCTCAAAGGTTAGTGTAACATATTCATTTACCGTATGTTGGACGTCAATAACTGTTCAGTTATGAACCGATGCTACTAAAATTCACTTGAAACTAGATACACTTCGAATACGTTCAAGGCATTATAACCCGTAAGGAAAACTTTGCGACGCTCCTAGATTCACGCGTCAAATTGTACATTTGAGAAAAAGATATTCTACGTGTGATTCAATAATACTTGAAGAACGGAACAAACAAGCCATCTTGATGGTCATAGTCGAACTAATAACTCCAGAGATATTCAGAGAAACAGCAATGTTAATCTAGAAAAGACATGTTCTACATGAGCAACAAAATTCAACGAAATAATTAGAGAGATTTGATCGCTGAGTTTGTAAATTGGGCCAGAAGCGCTGCATCGAGTCTTCTCTTTAAGAGCTTTTAGGGGATTGGTCGAACCGTCTCAATCGGCAGCTAATTCAATGAATGGACTATTCCTAGAGAAATGACTTACTAATAGTCCAATTTGCTATGTTTTGAGCCTAACTTCTAAGTTTTGACTCAAGGATTTGTGTTGTAACTGAGCTAAGTACTTATCGCTGAGCTATGGCAAAGGCATCGACTGCTAACCAAATCATTCGAAATTCATACTGCTGAATGTCAGACAGTTCATAATTTCCCATCAAGGACAAGGACGAACAACGCTAACTAATCGGTTGAACGTCATGAACAGGTGCATGTGGTAGCGGTAGAGCTCTGTTTTATTGTACATAATTTTAATAATATATTTTCGCGATAACGCTGTTTGTGCTAATACAATCATCAAAGTAGCATTAGAACCCCCATGCAACAAAAAGTTAATTGGATATTGAGTGAGATGCTTGACTTAGGTGTAATTTGGAAAGTAAAGTCACTCCCGTCTAACTGAAGTAAGTCCCCAGCAGTCGACATAGATCACTTACCCCGGTGATTGACATTTTAGAGAATGAACAATAGTGCTCAGTACGCTAATAGTCATTCAGTGGCCCATTTGTTTCACTAACAGAAATTTTGTATCTTAAGGAGCTCTCCATACTATTTGTATCTAGGCCTCCGAAGTGTTCTCATTTTTTCACCCTTTGGGACGTTCCAGAGTATTTCAATCATTTTGGAGTTAACAAGGAAACATTATCTTTTCATAATCAAGGTCATGCCCAATAAAACTTCCGGAAATTAAGAAGAAATCTCCACCGGTAAGTTAAGTAAGAATGAGCTTAAAAGTTATCAGTTCAAGGTTTCCTCTAAAAGCTTGTTTACACATAGCTTGGAACAAGATCATACCCAACCCAATAACAAATAGAGTAATATCTACAGCCAGGTATTCACACAATAAGACGGAATATAAGTCTTGTATTAGTAACGGAATAATCAAGAAGTAGTTAATTAACAAAGAATCTGAATCCAGCAATATAGGATCGCAGTATGGAACATTGAAAGATTAAAACAAAAATGAAGAACAATTTAGAGCAAACAATAAATGTAATAGCAATTTTTCGGAAAGGTGACTGGGTCACGGGGGCCTATATATAATTGCCTATATCTCAAATCCCTATCAAATATATTCAATAGGGAATCGATCAGCCGCTCGGCGCAATTTCCAACTGTTAACTGCACGTATGTTCGTTGTTTTGTTCAGTGTTGTCTCACTTGATGCTTAACGATGCCTCCATTACGCAAAATGATAGCGAAAATACAAGTTGAATTCAAAGGCAAAAAAGTATCATCTGAAAAGACAGATTTCTCACTGTTACCTCTTCATTCTCGTGTATGTATATGTGCCGGCGAGACTATAATTTATGGACGAACCAATCAGATATAAGGTAAAAAGTCACGAATTTGGGCGCGGAATTCAACCATACCTTTGGGTTAATAGAATTTTGGAATTATAGCTGATGTCAGTTCGTGATGAAAACCCTAAATCTAATTTTTAACTATTCTGATTGTTTTATAACCCTTATTTAGTCCTAATTAGTGGTTGTTCACTCTCAAGGTCACTTCAGCGTCGCTTCGCGAGCTCACAATTTTGGGCAAAATTTGACCCATTTTGGGGAAATTTTGGGGAAGCCGCTGTAGTAAACTGTGGGAAAATGGCACAAAAACCCAAAAATTTCGTCAAACTTTGGGGATTTTCCCCGAAGTTGGGAGCTTGGGTCAAAGACCGTCCATAAATTATAGTCTCACCTATGTGTCCAATTTCAAGTTTGGAGAAACTTTCGGAGGATGCGACCAAAACCGAAGTTTGGCTTGCCTTTGGCTTTTACCGAAAACTGCAGAATATTCTGCGGGAAATTCACTAAACGGTCGGGTTTCTCTCAAATATTTTGCCAGTTTGTAGAAAACTACGAATTTTGGGGAAAACCATAAAAGTCCCCTATAATCATGAAGCTGATCTTAAGTTCATTTGCATCAGAAAGTTTTATGCAAAGATTTAGGCAGCTTTTTGTTTGTGAGTGTGTATATATGTACTTCAACCTAATTGCACTCAAGTTGACATAAATCCCCATACTCATATAACATATTAGTTAGTCCAGCTTATACACTTGTTTTCATTCACCGTTTAGATGCCTAATCCACCTGTTTGCTACTACTATCAAGCTGGTTGTTGTAGAAACGGGAACGAATGCACCTTTACACACCCGAAGATACGTTGTCGTACTTTTGCCTCTGATGGTTGGTGTCCTTATGGATACAACTGTCGTTTTTGGCATGATCCGTCTGTGAAACTGGGCGTTGTCAACATAATCAAAAAGCCGTGCCAATTCTATGCAAATAATCAATGTAAATATGGTGATAAGTGCAATTTCTCCCATGATATTAATACTCAAAACAATAGTGGGATTACATTGGAAGAATATCGAGCCACAAAAACGGTGACAGGCGTGCACATTAATATCGAAGCTCAGGAGTCTACAACTACCGAAATGTCACATGGCAAACAGGATGGTATTTCCGACGCATTACTTACGTCAGTTGTAAAATCTAATCTAATCACAACTTCGTCATCTACATGCCTTAACAAAAATAATCGTAGCTGTGTAAGACTGCCCTTCCAGAAATATGCTTCTGTAAACGCGATTGATTTTCAAGGAGCTTCAAAGGCTGAAATTTGTGATCTTAATCATTCTGAGCTGAAACGCCTAAAGAAACAATTTCCTCCAGACAAATTACGTGAAGTAGAATCAAATGAGAACTATCATATGTTTTGTGTCAGATTCTCCTCCACAGATCCCGACTGGGTTAGTCATTTTGTTGGTAAATGTAAATCAAACTTTACTGGTCACAGCAATAAATACTTTAGTTGTTTCAGATTTGGGATTATCTTGACATTTCGACTCGCTTGGTCAAGAATGTCCCGAAATCTCGTGCTTACGACTACATGGTTATCCGTACAGTTGGGCCAAGAAATCTTGTCTTTTGTGTCAAAAGGTTTAGATAAATGGATACATGTAATAATATACGCCGAGCATCTTATATACTTGTAGGGGTACTGGGGTGTCGGCTTATTTCGGAAATTACTACATGGCTTAAACTTGCGAATCTTTGACTTGTCCCACCATCGAAAGTCAATTTTAGGACTGTGTTTTAAAATATACTCCATGATAGTCACAAATAAAAGCGTAACTACAAGACTAAGTAAATTACTTTTGTAGACAAGTATAACTTAGAATATTGTTTCTAGTACTAATAAGAGTAATTTTTAAGAAGCGAAATACTGTCCAATATAAAGATAAGAGCTCCTCTCTTTTTATTTAAACCAAAGCATACTTTAATCCGATAAAATCGGAAATCTTACAATCTCTATCTTGAAAGTTAACATATTCTATCTCTTATTTCACATTAATTACTCAAGGTAATATCACAGTTGTTTTATACATTTCCTGAGTACTGCTGTATACAATATGTGCGATCTATGCGTCTTCCTGACTACCTCATTTTTACTTTCGGAATATATTGTTACTGTCGCCTCACTATTTACTAAGTATATCTTATAAAATTTGTTTTTTACTTTGAGATTTTATCTGTTAGAGTTTTCAAAGAAACTTCTCAGTATGCTAACTTTGTCGAATGAATAGTATAAAACGACTCTGTATTTCTAAGATCAGAGTGATAAGTATGCTATAAAAATACTAAGTAGTTGGCACGTGAAATTCTTTCACATTTGTAGTTAGAAAAATGTTGGGCTATCTTTATTATAGAACACCTCTAGCATCTGATATATTTTACGGCGAATGGGGTTTATAACGGAATTTTATGTGAGGTAAATGACCCCTCCCTCAACTAGTTATGCGAATGAAACGACTATAGTTAGTTCCGGACAAATCTATCCGTTATTAAATTTAGTAATACAGTTTAAATCAAGTATTGTAAATTGTAGGAAGTGGCATTTAAAAAATGTGCACGGAGAACTATCTTTTCTGAAAGTCGATATGACAGCACTCAAAAATTTGTCAATATCATTGCTTTTTTGTCTTTGGCTGATCAAATGAATTATCTATGAAAGAGTTCAGCCGGTGCACATGATCTAAACTTTCACTTTAACCGATGCAAAAAATGGTCAATAATTTATTGTATTGGATGTAGAATATTTTATGACTTTGTATATGTAGTTTGCTTTCTGTTTAAATTTGCCTCGTGGTCAACTGACGGTTATTCACAAAACCCAGTTTCTGACATAAGCCTCTGAATAAATAGATCTCAAGAGACTGCACAGTTGGTTGGGAAAAATTCGTTTTTGCTGAATAAGATAACACTTATGTACATATACGTACATGAAGGTGATCGTAACTAAAAACCCTTTGAAACATTTTCGAATTCGGCCTGTAAGATTAAGACCTGACTGTCAGCGTCAGTTTACATCCGTCATATAATCTACATACTTTGAAACTGTTTGCAGCCTGTTGATTGCAATCACTACAGTTTAGAATTACGAACCTCCATGTAGTATGCTTGTTTGAATATGTATTAGAAAATGTTGCACTTTAGATTGATAAATAAATTCACTTGAATGTATACTAATGTGGTTGTGTACGTACGTTTTCATAGTCAAAGCACCGGCTACAGGCAACCACCGATTCTTTATTCCTAATCTAGATGGTTAATAATTTGAATCATTTGCCACTTACGAATTTACCTACTCGGCTTCAAGTTACTTATTTTAAAGGCTAGTGATACTATCTGGCTATTCAAACAAAAACCGTTTAAGTAGGGTTCAAACTTGTGGTCTTGTTTCCGGAAACCAAACAGTTCGATGTAGCCACTACTTTGTAATTCTACGTTCTATAGTTCGAGTTCCTTTTGTTGTGACTTCCTCTTGAGGTCGTCCACGTAAAATGTGACCTGACATAATAGCTTACCATGACATCTGATATAATACTGTTTCTACTCGTCTTCTAGGTCTACGATGTTCGTGAGATAGTGTTGAATATTCTCATCCCACAAATGTATCCCAAGGAACAACTTCAAATTTCAGTGGTAATGCAAGAACATTTACCAGTGATCTTAGTTGAGTAAGTACTTATCTCTCTTTTTCAGTAATTTGCATCATTTCTAGTGTCCGTATGCATTTAAATCCATCCATATATTGTTTTTACGCAGCCATTTGAATAAAGCAATCGGTTCTTGGGTTAGATGTAAGCACCAATGTATGGAACGAATGAATCGTCTAGAGCTATACTTGCGTCCTCTCCTTTTGTGGCTTGATCGTAACTTGGAAGAATTATTCACTGAAGGATTACGTAAAGTAAGTTGATTTTCATGTTAATTACGGAACAGATGTTACTTTGCGTAGTTGTTTCCGATTTTCTTTCCTTATTCAAGCGCGCATACTTTTCTAATTGGAGATAAGTTATGTTGAAAATCTGACGCTCATGATCTACTCAACTCATTGTTGTATGTTATTACTTGTTAACATCACCTTGATAATAGTGTTATCAAAAAATCACGGGTTTTGTCCTGTTAATTTCTAACAGTTCGTTTGTTATTTTGTTTGAAAATTAAACGTTAGACTAACTTTTAAATTGTTTATAAAAACGTTTGATTATCTATTAAGTTAAACGAAAGAATATGCAGGGCGTTAACTTAGTAGCACACAAAACCAAACCAATAACTTCAAATGCCTTAGCCGACATACTGGCAGCATGAAATCAAACTGCGTATATTAATTCACGAAACGTGTGATCAGTATCCACAACTCACGATAACCAAGTATGTGAATTAGGTCAAATGATAAGATGTATAGCAAATTTATATTCGTGATCAAAGAAGTAGTAACAAACAGATAATCAGTCAGTCAGTTACAACATAGGACCAGGCACATATGTGCATCGGTCCAAGTTTCCATACCGCATTAGCACAACAAGATGAACACCGGATTCATAAAAGTGGTTAATTCAATGGTGGAAATATATGAAAGGAAGATTGCATATAGTACATATAGTACATATAGTACAGGAAGAAAGAATTATTTCGTAGAAAGAAGGATATAAAGCGATTTTAATCTCATATTTTAGGGGAAGACAGGGAGTGTATACACCTACGCCATTGTGATCGATTCTCAGCCATGTCACCAAGAGTCTCCAACCATTGGTTACGATAGTCACGCGGACACCAACCAAGTAGTTTGCATCTACCAACATGGTTCAGACTAGAAGTTAGTGACTTCAAGCACTGATGCCACGTTTTAGTTTGGCCGCCCCTAACTTTCTTCCAACCATACCGAACACCAGTTAGCATTGCACTTCGTGGTAATCGGTATTCGGGCATACGTAACACGTGGCCCAACCATCTCAGTCGATGAAGATTCACAACCTCATCTACTGCATTAATATCATTCCCTAATACCCCACGTCTAACCTCACTATTACTAACCTGGTGATCCCAGCAGATGCGAGCAATATTTCTAAGACATCTGTGGTCAAATATGAGTAGCTTAGGAATATCTTCTACTCTTAGTGGCCACGTTTCGCAGTCGTAAAGTAAAACAGAACGAACTGCTGAGCAATATACTCGTTCCTTAATTGATAGACGGTTATCTCGTCTTTGCCCGACCGTTGTTGCTACCTTGACATGGTGGTCGGGCTTGCCTATCGTGACGAAGCAACCGAGCTATACTGTCCGGAACAACCGTTCCTCAAGGTCCTACCATGTCAGACAGGTCGGTTGAAGAGCGGTAAGACTAAAAGCAGCAACTCAAGGTCTGAGGGCGAAGTCGTACTGCTGACTGTAGAGGGGTGTGACAGCAGTAAGGTGTTTCCCTCGGACAACCAGCATCTGCAGCGATGCTGCCTATACAATGATAAATTTAAGGTCAACAAGAACCAATCAACATCGAGGTGCACAGAACAAGCTGTGAAACACATATGGAGAAATTCGAACACTTCACTTCTATCTGAAGTTTGTGCTGATGATGTCGTTCAGAAGAACAATGAAAGCTCCACGACCGAACCATCCAGCTCAGAGAACAAAACACCATTAAGATCCCAAGTTCGGATAAAGGAGAGTGTTAGGTATGAGGTTATCGACCCCACCGGGTAGAACACTAACCAACCGGAAAAATAAGTCAAACCATTGAAACTCTGCCTCGATAGTTAAAAGGTCTTCACTTAAAAGAGTTATAACGCCTCATGGTGAAAGCCGAGTCCCTTCGAACGTCACGAGGCTGATGCCCATTCTGACAATCAGAGCGACCATTAATTTACGTACATGAAACGTTTGTACAATGTAGGAGACCGGCAGAGTCATGCAAATTGCCTCAGAAGTGAAAACATACAGCCTGAAGGTGCTTAAAATCAGTGAAACACACTGGGAGGAGGTTGGACAACAAAAACTAGCTCCAGACGTGCTGCCATCATACTCCTGCGACGAAGAAGAAAATGCTTCGAATACACAGGGAGTTGTTCTGATGCTATCCAAACAAACAAAAAAGCACTTATAGCACTTATAGCCTTACATCTGCATCAGGTTCACTGTGTTTACCAATGATTCTGCCTAGATATGTGAAGGTTTTTACATCTTCCAATGCTTCTCCGTCACGTGTGTACTCCGTGCAACGACTTTGTAGTTTGATCCATCATAAGAATTCCGTATGATGTTAATTATTTTCTCAGGCACGCCGCATTGTCGAGGAAGCCTCCATAGTGCTGTCCCGTCCACGCCATCAAATGCTTCCTCGTAGTCAATGAAGTTGATGTAGAGTGGTGAATTCCATTCAATTTATTGTTCCACAATGATCCGTAATGTTGCGATTTGGTTGAAACACGATCGATTCTCACGGAATTCAGCTTGTTGGTCTCAAAGTTGGTCGTCTACGGAATCCTTCATTCTGTTCAACAACACTGTGATGAAGACTTTTCCTGATATTGAGAGGAGAGTGATGTATCCGTAGTTATCACACTTTCTGAGATCGTCTTTCTTTTGTATCTTGATCAAGAGTCTCTGTTACCAGTCTGTTGGTACTTGTTCTCATCCCAAATCTTGCTGAAGAGAATGTCGAGTTTCTTCGCAGTTGCGGCTACGTTTGCTCCCAGTGCCTCTACTGGAATGTTGTCTGTTTGTGCATATTTATCGCTCTTGATTTGTCTGATGGCCATTGTGATTTCTTCAACTGTTGATGGGCCAACAGTAGTTGGGAGGTCTGTCAGCGCTGCTTCGATGTTAGGTGGGTTCGGTGGTGCTGGTCAATTCAAGAGTTCTTTAAAGTGCTCTTCTTACCCTTTTCGCTGTTCTTTAAGGTTCATGATTACTTTATCTTCCTTGCTTTTCACTATTCGTTCCGGTTCATGATAATTTCCAGAGAGCTGCTCTGTTGTATCACACGATTGACTCATGTTTCCTTCACTTGCAACCTTTCTGCCATCACTGCTAGATCCTCCACGTATATACTTTTGTCGGTTCTGATGCTCCTCTTCGCCTACTTGTTTACTTCTGTGTATTCAGCTTGTACCTTGATTTTCTCTGCCCTTGTTTGACTGATACTGATTGGTGTCTTCTTGTTCCTCCTTCTTGAATCATATCCAGTGCATCAACAGTGATCCATTCCTTGTGATGGTGCTCCTTGTGGCCCAGAACCTCATGACATTTTGAAGTGATTGCCCCTTTGTTCCCCTTCCAGTTGCTCTCCATAGTAGTTCTCTCTTTATTGGGTACATCGTGACAGGCCTGTAAAGTATTGCTGAGGGCTGCCATGAATTCGTTCAGTCTGCCAGTACCCCAAAGAAAAGCCGTATTATACTTTCGTGATGTTGTCCACCCCGTTGTCCAGTTTCATCTTGGCAATCAACAAGTGATGAACTGATGCTATATCAGCTTCTCTCTTGGTTTTCACGTCCTTCATAGTCCTTCTGAACTTTTTATTGATGCAGATTTGGTTCTGAGTAATGTGATCCGGTGAAATCTATGTGGATTTGTTGATGCATTTATGTGGGAATATGGTGCTGTCTATGACCAGTGTGTTGGAGGCACATAGGTTTTCAAATCTCTCACCATTTTCGTTCCTATCTCATAGTCAGTCTATGTCGTCCTATGATGTCTTCATATCTGGTATTGTTCATTCCAACCTTGGCATTTAGGTCTCCCATCAAAATGGTCAAGTACTTTTTTGGATATTTCTCGACGATTGACTGAAGCCTATCGCGGGATTGTTCTTTAATGTCCTCATTGTAATCGTAGGTAGGCGCATAGCATTGGATGACATTGATCGCAATGCCCTTTGATGATCCTGGGTCCATGAGATTCGAATGCTATAAGTGCTTTTTTGTTTGTTTGGATAGCATCAGAACAACTCCCTGTGTATTCGAAGCATTTTCTTCTTCGTCGCAGGAGTATGATGGCAGCACGTCTGGAGCTAGTTTTTGTTGTCCAACCTCCTCCCAGTGTGTTTCACTGATTTTAAGCACCTTCAGGCTGTATGTTTTCACTTCTGAGGCAATTTGCATGACTCTGCCGGTCTCCTACATTGTACAAACGTTTCATGTACGTAAATTAATGGTCGCTCTGATTGTCAGAATGGGCATCAGCCTCGTGACGTTCGAAGGGACTCGGCTTTCACCATGAGGCGTTATAACTCTTTTAAGTGAAGACCTTTTAACTATCGAGGCAGAGTTTCAATGGTTTGACTTATTTTTCCGGTTGGTTAGTGTTCTACCCGGTGGGGTCGATAACCTCATACCTAACACCCTCCTTTATCCGAACTTGGGATCTTAATGGTGTTTTGTTCTCTGAGCTGGATGGTTCGGTCGTGGAGCTTTCATTGTTCTTCTGAACGACATCATCAGCACAAACTTCAGATAGAAGTGAAGTGTTCGAATTTCTCCATATGTGTTTCACAGCTTGTTCTGTGCACCTCGATGTTGATTGGTTCTTGTTGACCTTAAATTTATCATTGTTTACTTCTTTGTTTTGGTTGTGTCTCCCATTGGTTTGATTTTTGTTCCTATATTTATGCATGATTTTCCTAATTGGTTGATAAATTGGATTGATTTCAATATGCTTGTTGATTGCTGATTGACCTGAGTGCCAAGCTTCTAAAAATTCTCTGGAGTTTTTGGAGTTTCCTCTGTCTAAGATTTCTACATTTTCCCAATCGAATGAATGTCCGTAGTTATCCACGTGTATTGATATAAGTGAAGAGATATCATGGCGTTTGACTGCTAATTGATGTTCATGTAGGCGTAGGTGGAGGGGGCGTCCGCTTTGCCCGATGTAGTGTTTGTCGCAGTTGGTACAATTTATTTTGCAGATGATCTACAAAATAAATCAAACCAATGGGAGACACAACCAAAACAAAGAAGTAAACAATGATAAATTTAAGGTCAACAAGAACCAATCAACATCGAGGTGCACAGAACAAGCTGTGAAACACATATGGAGAAATTCGAACACTTCACTTCTATCTGAAGTTTGTGCTGATGATGTCGTTCAGAAGAACGATGAAAGCTCCACGACCGAACCATCCAGCTCAGAGGACAAAACACCACCAAAATCATCCACCTGAGCTACAAATCTTCTCCACCATCTCGAACTTGGGATCATCAGTGACCCAAGAGGGGCTCCAAGCGGAATTCGGAGTTAGGTCTAAGTTGACATTTTTAGGAGGATGGACACCACATACATTGGGATCACTTTCTTCCGGGTTTTGATCTTTAAGAAATCCAGGATCTTTTCAATGGTTAAGATCATGAGTCAGTTGAAGCTAGACCACCATGGAAAACCTGGAAGCACC